TGAAGGGTCTCAACCTAAGAAGTGACCTTTAATATTAGGAAATGTAAGATCTCTATCAGTTATAATACCTATCTCATGGAAGCAGCCTGTCCTAGCTGGCGAGGAGTTGAAGGACCATTTGGATAGCTGGTAGAAGTTCAGACTTAAGGGGCCTTATAGGAGGGGTAAGGAGAGAGATTGCTTCCCCTAGTCGAGAGGACCCATTTCTCGATCTTCTCATCAAGAATGAGTCTGGTCGGTCAGTGATTACTGGGAAGGCCAGGTTTGAGATCGGTCTTAAGGAAGGGACTTATGAGACTCAGAATCATGAGGCTAAAGAACCAGCCACCGAATCCACTACTTTGCCTCCTTTGCCGCTGAAGGGGAGGAGGGATTTTTCTTCCAGATGGACTCCTCAGGCTCTAAGAGTGAAGATTCAGCAATCCCCCGACGGTCGATTTGCCACTATTGACCAGTCGATCCATTGGTACTCTGACTCCCCTTCTGCCTAAGTTTACCCTTTTACACTCTTTGAGGTCATCTGGTTGTCGGTGCTCGCAAAGTCTCTGTGGCAGTTGGAGTGTTTTGAGTTATTTAGGAAAGCTGAACAGTACCACCTGAAAGTGTGGGAGGCCTCTCATCTTCAGTCGTTGTCTTTGGAACTTGCCAAGACTAAGTGGGCACGATTTTAAAACTAGTTGAGGTCTTGGCTATGCTGGCTAAAGAAGCATAAATACGGGTTAATGCAACTGAGAAAAGCTTGATGCGGTGGCATATTAACTTCTAATAGTTTCAGAATTATTCTCCCTCATCTTCAAAGAGAATCATAATTTGAGAGAAATAATGGTGACTATGAGGACCAAGGAGGAGTTCTTTTTGTTGTTCCATCCCACCCCAGGCAAGTGAAGCTTCTCAGTGAGCAACTTCAAATTGGGAGTCTTACGGCAATTGATCGATTTGTTCGGCAGGTTTGATCGATCATAAATATTTGAACCCCCCAAGAGATTAAGACTCTATTTTCCAGATCAGAAAATTCATCTAGGGAATAATCAAATGTCGAAAACAAGCAAGACTACTCTAGTCGCGCCCCCCCTCCCCCAACCACCAAAGCATAAGCCCCTCTCTTTGCCTTTTTTTTTAAATAGTATTCTTTGCATGTATTTTGTTTAGACAAAACTTGTAAATGTAACAATTATGTAATTATAAAAATGCATGTTTCCTTTGTGATGAGGTGGCTTAATTGTCTTTTGTACCTTCATGCCTCTTTGGAACATGTGGGGATCTTGTGGGCCGACTCATTCGATCAACGGTTGCTATTCCATAGGGGTTTGTAGTATTTGGTTTGTTGTAACTCAACCTAAGCTTAGCTGAATAAGATGTTTCATTTTCGCTCAAGTTTGCCTTTCGGGTAAGTTTTCACCCTAGCCAGAGTTTGGGCGAATCTCATCACCATTTATACAAGGATTATCATATGGTCTTCATGGTGGAGTAATTTACACCATACCCTTCATGGCACGTGTCACTAATTTGGTAGGAATTTGTTTTTAGGGTTGTTTTGACCAAACTCTTCGTTAGAGTCTGTTAACTTTTCTTCTTATCCTCTCTCCCTCTCTCTCTCTCTCTCTCTCTTTTGAACTAGCTAGACCATCTTGGCATTATGGCTGATCGTTTTTGGAGCTCAGGTCCGCCAACGATCCTGGTATCAGAACTAGCTTCCTTCACTTGGTGCTTTGTCTGAAAATCTTGGTATCACGACTGACTATCTTCATGTAATGCTCAGTTGGGTGATGATGGCACCCCAGTTAGCAATTTTCATTTAGTGCTCACCGGGTTGGTTTTAGCGTTGCGGCTGGTTGTCTTCAGTTTAGTACTCAACTGAGCAATCTTGGAATCATGACCGACTTACTTCATTTAGTGCTCAGTTAGGTGATCTTGGCACTGTGACTGGTTTTCTTCATGTAGTGCTCAATAGGGAAATCTTGGCACTGCAGCTGACTATCTTCATTTAGTGCTCAGTCGGGGGATGAACTTAGCAATGTTGCTTGCTATCTTCATTTAGTGCTCAGTCGGGCGATCTTGGTGTCACAACTGATTGTCCTCATTTAGTGCTCAGCTGGATGATCTTGGCACCGCGAAGTCTATCATTCAGGTAATAATTATGTTGCGACCGACTGTCTTTATTTAGTGGTCAACCAGGCAATTTTGGGGCTGCAGCCAGCTGTGTTCATGAGGTACTTAGTCGGGCGAACTTGGCGTCACGACTGATTGTCTTTAATTAGTGCTCAGTCGGGTAATCTTGGCACGATGGTTGGCTGTCTTCATTCCTCCAAGTTTCTGATTTGCTTTCCTGGCTTTTCCTTAGTTCCCCGAACAATTTTCTAACCTGAAATTTTCTTATCTTCTATTAGTGTGGCATTCATTTATTTTGTATGCATTTTCAGCATGAAGTTAGGCAAGAGATTTGAAATTGCTAATAAAGCGGAAAGTAAATTTCAACTAAGACTTTTCATTTAAAGAGTGCAAAAGGTGGATGGAGGAAAATGGAGAATAATATTTATGAGATTATCCCAGTGATATGACCAATGCTTGTTCAGACAGGCCCAGACGGGGCCTCTAGCATTGTCACTTTCCCTTGTCTCCGTCCTTAGTTTCCCGTGGCCACGAACTCCTTCAGCTTTCCTTCTGGGTAGGGCTACCTTATGGTTCCCTCTTAGGAGTGTTTTCTTTTGCCAATATGTGCTTGTTGTCCTTCTTCAATAGCTCTGCCAAGTCTTGGGGCTCATTAATGCTGAGGTCATAATAAAACCTCTCGGACTTCAAGGCTTGCTTCAAGGCAGCTACAACCTCATTAACTTTGAGGTCATTTACCTCCAACATTTTTCTCTGGAAATGTGTGATGAATACGTGGAGACTCTTATGTTCTCCTTTCTTATGTTGCCACAAAGACTGAATGCTCATGGTAGATATCCGGACGCTGGCGAATTGCGTCAAGAATAACCTCTTGAATTCAGCAAAGCTGTCCATGATACCGACTAGAAGCCCGTGGAACCACTTCAAGGGTGAAGATCTCAAGGCGCTGAAGAACAAAAAACACTTGAACTCATCTGAGATTTTTAGTAAGCACATGACCGACTCAAATGCAGTGATATGGTCATTGGGGTTTGACCTCCTTCCATAGACTTTCAAGTTTGGGAGTTTGAATTCTTCCGAGGGCTCCTCTCAAGATATTTTGGAGGGAGAAAGTGCTCTCCAGCTATCGCGACAACTCAGTGCACCCTACGCATTGTCTTTCTTCCTATGCGGATCACACACTATCTTGGTACTAAGAGTCATCAACTCCCTCAAGACCGAGGTCTGCCTTCCGACCATTATGCATCGACGACACCACCAGAGGTTGGTTCTACTTTTGCGTCTTGCTACTGCTGTGAAGGCCCTCAAGACTTTGGCAATCTGGCCCGCCACATGTTCTATGATATAGGTCCTCATCTCCTACATTCCTCTCTGCATGTGTTCCTCGATTTCATTTCGAGGGGGATCTATGTTAGCTACTACTCTTTGGGATATATGCGCTCCTCTTCTTTTTGACGGCATGACTCCAAACTTAATGCATCTTTTAAAATGTTGAATCAAAATATATTTGGGAGATACACATAAGGAATAGAGCGTTCGAGATCAAAAGAGAGAATGAGGGGGGAGGGAGGGAGAGAGAGAGAGAGAGAGAGCAATAGCACAATATTGAAAGGTAAAATTGCGTAAACTTTATTCACAAAACAAAATTTCTATTTATAAGAAAGAACCTTAATACAATTACATATTGTACCCCTACAGTACGTAGGTATGATGTGAATATTTTAATCTGTACATAGAATTGATCTGTTGAACCTCAAAATATAATGGAACAACCTTTTAGTCGGACGGCTATGAGGCCAAGGACCGTTCATCTAGTGCAGCCGCTAAGCTACGCGACCATTAGGCTAGAGATTGAATGGCCACTAGGCCTAATAGTTACTCGTTGAAAGCTTGAATCATCATCTCCGGAGCTTAGGGATCCATTGCTCATTTTTTATCTATCCATGTTGGCAGGTGATGGCCTTGTCCCATTGGATCTAATCAGCTAAATTCTTTAGAAGTGATTTTCTTTTTGTTCTTTTGAGGCGCACCATTTCTACGATGTAAAAATCTGACTGGTTGAGCAAGTGTTCTTGGGTCATTTGTTGTAGGGTCTGCAAGACCGCTTCACCTCTTTTGTCGTCTGTGAGATATCTTTCTGATTCCTATTGGTCCAGGAAAGAGAAGTTTCACTTACAAAAAAAAGAAATATTATTCCCTCCCTTAACTCCATGTCTAATGCGTTAACTCTACCAACTAGTCTCCATTGAGATAACATATCAGGGTGAAATGTTTGAAAATCTTAATGAAGACCCCAAAGAGATGGAAGTTTCACTCACAAAAAAAAAGAGAATTTATCTCCCAAACTCTTTTAAAGACGCATCTTGATAATATGTAAGCTTGAATCAAGACCACTGACATTCACTACAACCACCGCGACGTCACCACTCTCAACGTCAAAATACTCTCCACAAAAAGATCGATCATCCATTATATTAAATTAGAACAATTTTATAACAAAAAATTTGATAAATTATGTAATAGAGGCCACTTATAATGGTTGCAGTATCACATATTTACATTAATAGTATAAAGATAATTTAAATTTGTTTGAGATGTTTTTTCACTGACCATATACTCCGCAATGTAACTCATAGCTCATAAGATGGTGACACAATAACCAAAAACAGAACAAAACAAACAAAACTACTAAGAATAAGCCAACGTATAGGGGGCATTTACATATACACCACACAATTCTCAAGTATTACATATCTGACACCTGAGCTCATATATTTACATGCATAGCACTCAGATATTACTCTTGTAAAAATCGAAGTCCAGATTTTCATGCATAAATTTATGACACCAAATGTTACAAATGTAAATATAAAAATTTAGACGTCAGATACATGAATTCATAAGAAGTGCAGTATGTATGTAAATTTCCCATTTAATTCATAAGTGTGGCATAAAAGTTTAGATTTCAGACTGTAAATTCATGCACAAGTTCCTCCCAACAGCATTGCATACATAATTAAATTTCACAGTCCACATGCTCTTTAAGACAGTCCTCTTTAATTCATTCTTCTAATAAAAAAAAATCAAGAATTATTTCTTCTTTAAAAACAAGCAGAACATCCAACATGTAAATCTCTTACCATTTTCCATCCTGCAACTAACATATATTGCAACTTTGAATGCTCTCTTCAGTCGTCATCATCCACCTCTACTTCAGAACTCACAATTGGCAAGTTTCTTCTGTATTGTGGAGACGTTAGTCTTCTCTCAAGAGGCGTCTTCCTCTTGCTGACAACAAATCTGTTCACACCCTTCCTCATGGGCATGATTTCTGGAAAATCTTCATCAGGAATTTGGGCGAGCTCTGAAATATCCTTGATCTGCGCTGCTCTGCGGAACCATCTCTCCGCCTTTGCCTCCTCCGACATGTCCAACGGATCAAGCTCCTTCACACAGGATCCTTCCAAACTCTTTCCAGAATAAACTCCACTTTGAATATTGCCACTAGTTTGATGATTATGTGGTGAATCTGCGCTGGATCCACCGTAAGAGGCATTTTTGTTATTCCAGGAGTTATCAGATGGTTTGGTAGAATTTTCAGTGTTTTCAGAAGAAAAAAAATCATCTTTTGCAGAAGAGTTAGGTGTCTGAGATGAATTTGGATTGTTATTCCATGAGTTAGTAGATTTCTGGGTTAGATTGGCACTGTATCCACTGTATTTCCCTAAGTTGGCGTCCGGTTGAGTTGTATAATATGGAGAGCCATAAGGAGCGTTCTTTCTAATCATGGTTTCTCTATTGCTAAACAATGACATATCTGTTGGCTGGGATGAACTCCCAGTCGGGATGCCAGAATATTCAGATTTAGAACTATACCCATAACTCTTACCTCCAGATTGTGGTGACGCCCCTTCAAATCCCTGATCAGAGCTCCCCAAATTCTGCTCTTGCTCTTTTCTATTCAATGTTTCAACTTCATCCAAAATTGCAGAGGTTCCACTGGAATCAGTGACTAGTTGGTTGTCTTTCTTAGCAAAATAACCTGGAGGGAAAGGGACGAACGGTACGGAGTTGTAATTATTAGATTGTTCCATGGCTAAGCGCCTCTTGTAAGTAGGCGAAGTCAAGGACCGATCCTTCTTCTTGCTGACTACGAATCTGTTTTCTCCTTTGCGTACTGGCATGATATCCGGGAAGTCATCACCAGACACAGCATTTGTTGGATCTTTGGCATTTTCAAGCCCAGTAGCTGTATTGGACCATCTTAGTGATGCATCTGATGATTCATTGCTGATACCACTCTTCAGGGTATTCTCAGAAGCCTTAACCAGAGAATCAATTAACTCGCTAGGATTTGGGGAAGAAGCAACTCCTTTATCTGATGATTGTTGCACGCCATTGTTTGATTCCTGAGCTTTCCTAAACATATTTGGAGGCAACGGGACAAAAGGAATGCTTTCAGGGTTCCTCCTTTGGTTTGCTGAAGTATTATTTGACATACTTCCTGATGGATTTGATGAACGGCTGAGTATTCTATCCAATCTACGGCTGATTGAATCAGAATTATCATCAGATTCTGATCTTATGGAACTTCCAACCTGGAAACCTTGTTTAGAAACTGAAATATTTTGCTCAATGTTTGAACCTTTGGCGTGTTCTAAACCAGCAGCAGGCGTAGAACTTAGCGGCCCGTCTCCAGGACGTCTGTGGTCACACCGCAGACATGATTTATTCCTCCCGTAGTTGAAGAAATCACATCTAACAAAATAAGCAATCCCAACTTTAGTTAGAAATCGCCTGCATCAAAATCAAGAGCTACTGTACTTAACAACGGACAGTAATAGAGTCTTACTGAGGGCATTCCCATTCTGCACCTGCTAGCTGTCTTTTAGGTCGAGCCTCACCACATTCAAGGCAAGACATGTTCCTAGCGAAGTTCATAAAAGTGCACCTACAAAATAGAAGGATGTGCGCTAAATAAATTCAAGGGAAATTTATATATATACCACACACAATGACACAATTCTGTATTTACAAATCTAATTTCAAAAGTTTGATATTGAGGTATATTTCACTTATAGAAAGATATTGATGGTGGTATTTTTGATTTGATGTTAAAGATATGAGTGGAATGCCTGTAAATAATAAAGTTTAGCGTTAGATATGTAGATACATAAGAATCGTAGACACCCTCAGAACACAACTAATTCTAGGTAGCCTTTTACTGACATAACACTATAAAAATTTTATCATTTTTTTCCTTTATTGTATTGAGATTTTTTTCCCCTGAAAGGTGTAAAAACAGCTAAAAGGGTATTTTTACATGCCAGAGAAATATGCCTGAATGATTGTTCAACTAATTAGACTAATCTGGCTAAAGATTTCACATGAATTTAATTTTTTATAATTAGCATGGGATAATTAACTAATATAAAAATAAAAAAAATATGATTAAATATTTATTAATTTATTTATTTTTTAAATATTTATTAAAGCTCAAAAGTTTATTTATGATAGTAAGTTTAATTATCATTTAATCACAAAATATTAGTCATTTATTCAGTATTATGTTTTTTTTACTAATTAAATATATATTAATTGACTAAAATAGTTATTAACAGACAAAGCTAAAAATTACTTGCTGATTAGGATGGTAACCTAGATTAATAAGGACTTAAAAAGAGTTAATTAGGATATCTACTACTTATATGAGATATCACATAATAAATATTAAATTATGCTGATGAAATACGGACTAATTTTGTTTACAATTACTGAAAAACTTTTATTTCATGTTTAAAAATAACTAGAACATTCAAACATAACATTGTTTTAAGTGATAACATGAGGGAGAAATGATGAGTTCAATAGAAACCATCATTAATTTGCCAAATATCTTTGCCAAATTTGATTTTAAATGCCTCAAAATATACTTTTTTTTTTTTTCAAAAATTGACCGAGGGGCGGACCCTCTTCCAGTCCATGTGCAAATTCAAATCTGCCCGTAAGGGCTCGGATTCGAACCCCCGACCAGAGAGTCATGCCAAAGCCGCCACCAATGAGTCAGGGCTTGCGCACAATGCCTCAAAATATACATAATTGACTAAATATCTCCACTTTTTTCTAGGAGAAATATACCCGAAGGAGTATTGTGGACCAAAATGCCCCTATTCCATTAAAACATGAATCATAACCATCATAGTCACAACTCACAAGCTTTCAAACTACAGCTACTAAAACTTCCCTCATCCCAATACATCACATTTTCTATCTATGGTGATCTCCAAGCTCATGTGATCAGTGTGTGGTAAAGCTTCACAATGACAATCTCTACTTGTCAAAGATCCTATGTTCAAATTGAGTGATCTTGTAATTGTTGTTATTTATGTTTCAATGCATTCATTTATAATGAGAAAGAAATGAAAGGAGAATCCTAGCTTAAAAGAGAAAAAAGGTTTAAACCCTATATTTAGTGTTAGATCCTTATTCAAACAAGGTCTGAACATCTATTTTGAATCAAAGTTCAATCATAAATTAAGTTTGAAAAACGTTTGAACAAGATACAAACTTATAATAGAAGTTCAGAACATTATTTGCACACTAACCCTAAGACGCTAAGCCCTAGCCTTATATTACTTGTTACAAAAAAGGTTAAAGAATATTCAAATTTTATTCGAAACCTATGCAAACCATGTATGAACCTTGAACAATGATAATATTTTATGTAAGTTTAGAACATGACTTGAACATGATTCAGACAAATTATTTACATGGTTTATCCTTCTTTTTCCTAGTTTTCTTACATGGATTTAATCCATTCGAGTAGCTTTACAATATATGTATATGCACAATCAAATCATACCCGTGAAGAGACATTATACTTCTCAAGTCACATCTAGTTGGGGGTATGATGGAAAAAGTAATTAAATAGTTTGAGACTAGTGATCTTCTTCTACGAACTAAGAAATTCCCATATGGGCAGCTTTTTAATGCTCCTACCTTAGTTTTCAGATACACAAACTAATCAATTTCTGCTGAGGATCGTTGAAGATGGATAGAATGATAAGTACTCCACTGTGTTCCACATGAAAGGTAAGACCATTAAATTTGGAGTTGCAGAATTGCTCTTATTACTAGATTAAGATTTAGCAAATTTTTAACAAACGAGATATGCAACGAGACAACTAAAAGTAGTAGACTAATTAAGAACTATTTACATGGAAACAAAAACTTTAATAATACAGGCCTAGAAAATGCATTTATGAAGTTCTACTCAACAATGTGAAGCACATTGATGTTTTCATTGAAATGCTTGCATTAATGAATATTGGTTACATTATTTGGATGCTCACAGAAAAAAGCTATTATGGTAGAGAATGCTAAAAAAGCTAAATAATGATTTATTGTACTATAAGAAAAATGCTTTAAAAAGAAAGCCTCAACTCAATACACAGTTACTGAATATGCTATATCATTGTAGTACTAGGCTTATGAAGCCATCCAAAAACTGGGACAAAATGTGCAGAGTATCTTAAATAAAGCATCAAAGATGTTCAACTGGAAAAACAAAAAGTGCTTACAAGCAAAATTATTTTGCCATTGTTTATGAATGAAGATATAAATTATATGTAAAATATTCTATTTTAAATTTTATTTTTGATTAGTCTTAATTAGAAATAAATTTTCAAGCCAATATTGAATTATTTTTTATAGATGATTGCTAGCTCTACACTGATGCACATAATTGATGATCATCACACATTCTATAGACGAGTATAATGACCTTATTGAGAAAGGAACATGAAAGTTGCATGCAAGACAAATATAGGCAAGTCGACACCCCAAGTACTTAACCCATGCCCTCCTCAGATCAGTTGAAGCAATTTTTTGTAGTTGATAAGAAGCTAAGAAAAAAAAAAAATCAATCGACCTTGGAGCATAAATTAAATGCTCAGGGACAATTTGTTCAAACTTTATATATAGGAAGGAAAAGAAAAAATAATAGCTTGTTTATTTGAGATTTTGCTTTTGCGAAATTTCTTTTAAAAACTATTTTACAAGAAATAGCATTTTAAAGTTGCTGCAGCTAAAATCAATAGGTTGCTTGAATAAAAAAAAACTTTAAATGCCCTTCCTGAAATAGAAAAGTAGTATGTCATCTATTAGTTTAGGGCCAATGGTTTTAAATGTAAAAAATCAAAATGATCATAAAATTTTTAGATAAACAAAAATAATTTCTTTTCAAATATTTTTCATAAATTTTTCAATAAATGTATATTTTATTTTCTTCAACTTTATTTCATAAGCACTAATGGTACATGGAGTGCTATATATTTTTTTAATGAAGATTATAACTGACAATTAGATAAAACATAATAGTCTAGAGTTAGCTAATTGAAACATGTTTAACTAAAATAAAATAGACCTGATATCTACATATAAATTTACAAATTTTCATAAAATCTGGAGGCTCGGAGTCTGGTTTGGGAGTATGATTGTGTCATCCTGCAGAAAAAAGAGGGTATTTTTGACTTTCTCATTTAGTAAAAAACAGACAAAACTGAAAATGCTATCCTCAAATAGCTTTTGAAATTTGGTAAAAAATGGAGTTTTTTAAAAAGCATATTAAAATAAACTACTTTTTTTAAAACTAAAAATGTTATTATAAAGTTGATTAAAAAAAACCTACATGTGTACATTATAACACACAGATGAGTGAGAAAGATCATAGGGAGATCTTCGAAGTTGACTCAACCATTCATGTTATAAGGTTAAATATGATCTAGTGATGGAAAAGGAAGATAGTGATGGAGTCCTTGCACTGATCCAACCATTTAAATTAAGTCTGGAAAAGAGAGGTCAAGGAGAAAGATGATAAAATATAGAGGTCCTTACTATTGGTTCTATCATTCATACAAACACTGAAGGTGATGTGGTGAAAGAAGCAGAACATGTAGACCCATCCCTTCAAGTTATATGTAAAGATGATGTAAAGTTAATAGATTATCAAAAAAAGGAACTCTAGAATAAGAAATAACTCAGTAAAGAGTTCTCAAACCCATCAAGCAAGGGACAAGCCAAAGGATTCATGCATATTGACCACTTTCACTTGAGTGATGGAGAGCAATTGTCTATTTTTAAGGCTTGAATGACAAGATAGAAAGATAACTCCAAAGAGAGACTAGGCTGTGAAACCATAGTGTGATTTTAACAGTTCATACACCCATGATGTGACTAGATAATAAAATAACTATTCCATCAGCTTATTGATGACACAAGTATTTGACCATATCATTGCATTGTGTTGACAATAAGTTTAATCTTTTTTGTGGTATATAGTTCTATTTTATGTTATCTTAAAGCGAATATGACACTAGCTATGAACCTATGGACAGACATTGATATCTTGAATGAATTATTTGATCCATACTACAAAGCAATGATCTATGTGGAGAGCAAATTGAAGAAGGGTTCTTTTAGACTGCATGAATCCATGCTAATGAATGTTATTAGAGATGAAGACAAATTCCAAAAATCTTTTATTGATGCAAATCTCATATAATTTATAAAAACTTGAATAACATTCTTAATAATATGTAAGATATTATTGCCTACAAAGACCATAACATTATAAGATTGACGCTTTTTGCATTCCAATGCAAACCTTGAAGGCAAAAAATAATTTATTTTGTAAGTGCTTCCCTAAATTACTCGAGCTGTAAAGGTCATTTGACCATAGGCAAGAAACAAAGCTCCTTGGAAGGGGAAGTGAGACAACACAAACAAGGTTACCATGTCTAACATAAGGTAAGCAATTTAAAAATTTTAAGAAAAGCTTCTGTAGTACTTAAATATAAAATCTGATAGTGTTGTATGTATTGCTTACATCGGAGATTGTAAAATATGTGTACAACACATTTACCTAACTTCAAATTGAGACCGTTTGAAATG